AAGCGTTCGCTTGTCAGGCCGAAGGCCCGAGTTCGATTCCACACATGGGTACAGTGCGAAGCCCATTTCCGGTGTGATATTGATGAAATATTGCAACAAGGGGTGTAAAACCATACTCGCGCACTCACAATAACACAGATTCGTTATTCGCCTGTCAGTCAGTCCCAGCTGTATTCGACCGCCTCCGTGGTCTAATGGTAGAGCGTCCGCCCGGAGAGCGGAAGGTCCGGGGTTCGCTCCCCAGCCGCGTCATACCAAAAGACGTTAAAAGGTGGAACTTGTTGTTACCCTGTCTGGCGCTCGGCATTAAGGGGCTAAAACAAGGACTGGTCGGCTCGGAGTCAGTAAACTGTGTCTGAGTTGGGTATTCATGTTAAACTTCGGCAGTGTGCTAGCACTATAAATCGGCATCAGTCCGGACTAGTACAAGCAGTCACACACACACACACACACACACACACACACACACACACACACATACACGTGCATGCACGTCGCTATATAAGTGCAATAATCTTGGACGCGGCGTTAAACCCCATTTCACCTCACCCAGCTGTATTCCTGTTTCAGACGTGTAAACAGATACTTATTTCGGTTTGAGTGAGTGAGTGAGTTGGGTTTAACGCCGCTTTTTAAACAGTATCCCAGTTATATGACGGCGTGTCAGCTTAATTTGGGAGGAAATCCCGAAGTGATGCAGGTCTCAGACGTTTACCACTTACGGTGAAACCCACGAGCACGGGTATGGTGCTGACAAACCTAGAAACATAATCAGGGATAACCGGGATTCGAAACCACAATCATAGGTTTCTGGCTAGCCCAAGGGACGAGGCGCCTTAGACGACTGGGCCACCCAAGCCCTCGGACGAAGCTGGATGCGACCCATTAATCAAGGGGGACACTGACACCACAGTTGTGACATTGCACGGTCTTGGAAAGAAACCGTTTAGATTTTTGTCAAAGAAACACAATCATAGGTTTCGGGCATGCCCAAGGGTCGCAACTCTGCACAGCGAATGGCGGCGCCTTAGACGACTGCAGCCTTCTGCTTTACCCAGATTGTCAGAAGGGCTGTAATCCTGGTAGCAAAGCCGGGTACTCTCTCAATGTCAGTCAACAGATTTGGAGGCACCGAGAACAGTGGGGAGTCGGTCAACTTGGTACTTGGAATGCAAGCGATGCAATTTCGATAGCGAGGTCTGCATATTTGCCATTTTTTTCCTCAATCTTGTCAATCACATTAGTATCAAAAGGGACAGAAATTATTATTATTATTATTATCATTATTATTGAAGAAGATTGTATACATCTGTCATCTTAGGGGTGTCAACACATTTGTATATTTGTTCAACCAGACTCGCCGTCAAACAACTGAAATACTGTTCAAAGTGGCGTTATACTAATGAACCAGTAATAGTGAGTGAGGAATTGGGTGAGTGAGTGAGTTAAAATGTTACATAGCATCGGCAATATTGCAGCCATATCGCGATGATTTGGTTGGTTGGTTGGTTTGTTGTTTAAGGCCGCGCTCAGCAATAGTCCAGCTATATCACGGCGGTCGGTAAATAATCGAGTCTGGACCAGACAATCCAGTGATTAATATCATGAGCATCGATCCACGCAATTGGGATCGATGACATGCATCAACCAAGTCAGCGAGCCTGACCACCCGATCCCGTTTGTCGCCTTTTCCGACAAGCATAGTCGCCTTTTACGGCAAGCATGGGTTGCTGAAGACCTATTCTACCCCGGAATCTTCACGGGGGGAGACAAGCATGGGTTGCTGAAGACCTATTCTACCCCGGATCTTCACGGGCTCGTATCTCGATGAGAACAATTTAATCATTTCTAAATTCCTGTCAACAACTGACAGTAAAAAGGTAGGTTAAATGTCGCATAAGTATAAAAACAAAACCAGATCACGTTTAAAACATCAGTCTTCTCTGCACTCGTAGTCGTATCAATTACAAGTAGGCTATGGAACAACTTGACGCCTGACCTTTTAACACACTTTAAAATGAACGACGAGGCTGCTCATTGTGTCAAAGTGTGTTTATATAATGGACATTCTACGAGTTCCATGTGGTTATTTTTATGAAAATTAAGTTATGGCCCAGTAACCAATCTCTGTTCAGTTGTAATCAAATAACATTTATGTGAGTGTTGTTCTTACTGATTTGGACTCACCCTACTCATTAACTTTGTTAAAATTCTCAATTTATCTTTAGACTGGCGTCGAGAATCAAAATAGTAACTTTACAGTCGATGGAAACTTTGATCCAGTAAATGAACAGACCATTGACGCCACTTTGAACAGCTGTTGGAGTACCATTTGGTGAAACCCACATATTTGGTACTTTGTTTGTTGTTAACGCCGCACTCAGCAATATTCCAGCTATATGACGGCGGCCTGTAAATAATCGAGTCTGGACCAGACAATCCAGTGATTGATAACATGAGCACCGATCTACGCAATTGGCAAACGATGACATGTATCAAGCACGTCAGCGAGACTGACCACCTGATCCCGTTAGTCACCTCTTAGGACAAGCATAGACGCCTTTTACGGCAAGCATTTGTTGCTGAAGATCAATTCTAACCCAGAAACTGCACGGGTCCCATTTGGTATTGACAGACAAAGGACCATATGGTTGCGGAAATCATATCATCGGATTGCATTACAAATTGCAGCGCCCTAAACCTCAACAGTTCGTGAATAAAAACTCTTTTCATGATCATAAGATTATGGCTGTAAAAAGAGCCCGACTATGTTATAACCCTGTGTCTGTAAATCACAATCAAATCGTGAGTGAGTATGGTTTTACGCACCCTCACCAGACTTGTGAAACGTCACAGGTAAACTGGCAGTATTACAGGTAGGCCGAGAATTGGAAGACCCAAGGTCACGACCCCACAGGAAGACCGGTATTTACGGGTGCTTCACCGAATGTCCAGATTTCTAACTGTGACGTCATCATCCGCAAACAGCCTTGGACATCCAGTCAGCAGAAGGACCGTTGCTAGACAAATCCGCCTGTATGGTCTCCGTGCCTGTCGACCTCTCAAGGGCATGACGTTAACGTTTCTACACCGACGTCACGTATTGTGAGGAGCCAGGACTGTACAGCAGTGGCAGCAGGGCAATTGGCGAAGTGTGTTCTTCAGCGACGGATTCGAATCTAACGACGACGTGGTGAACAGACGGCACGTTGTTGCGTCCAAGTGGAGCCGTATGGAGGTGGTAGTGTCATGGTCTGGGGTGGCATCTGCGGGGACCAGAAGACAGATCTGGTCATCATCGACGGCAATCTCACTGCACGTTGTGATTGATGAGGTTTTGCGGCCTGTGGTACTGCCTTTCCTGCAACGACACCCACGGACACGGTTTCATCAGGACAACGGCACCCTCCCACACCTCGAGTCACTAGCGACTTTCTGAACGCCAACAACGTGACCGTATTACAGTGGCCAGCCAGATCACCGGACCTGTCGCTCATAGAGTACCTCTGGGACCAACTTGGACGCATGATTCGGAAACGTCAACAGCCGCTATTGACGAGGGATGCCTTGGCAATTGCTCTGCAGGAGGAATGGCGTAGGATCCCTAATCAGGGTGTCAGGAGACTCGTGTACTCAGTTGGAAGTCGTGTTAGGGCCTGCATCGTGGCTGGAGGGGGTCAAATCCGATACTGAGCCATGTGTGTAGCACGGGACGTCTGCGGGTGTGATCGAATACTGGACAGTGCACCCAGCAACGTGCCTGCAAAACTTTAAGTACATGCTTTTTGATCTTATCATTTTCAAATACCGTTTTTGAATATTTGGGTTTTTTTATAATAAAACATCAACTGTTACTAAATTTTGCGTCTGTTTTATTTTGGACCAGAAAATTGTTTGGTTTCGGGTTTTTTGCCCGTTAGTTTGTATTTATAGTTGTTTACATAGGAATTTCTCGATACTTATATTTAACATCAAAGTGTTCCCTAATTTTGATAAAATTATGTACTGTGATCTTTACACTTCTTAAAACAACGTGGTAAACGGCGGAGGTCACCTTGGCCGTGACTACTGAATTGAACCCTCAATGTTGTTGATTGGTTGTTGTTTAACGTCGCACTAAGCAATATCCAGCTTTATGACAGCGGTCTGTAAACAATCGAGTCTGGACGAGACAATCTAGGGATCGATATCACGACCATCGATCCACATTTGGGATACGATAACATGCATCAACCAAATCAGCGAGTCTTACCACCCGATCCCATTAGTCGCCTCTTACAAGCATGGGTTGCTGAAGACCAATTCTAACCCGGATCTTCACGGGTCCCTCCCAGTAGATATTCAAGTGACCCGTAAAGATTCCGGGGTAGAATAGGTCTTCAGCAACCCATGCTTGTCGTAAAAGGCGACTAACGGGATCGGGTGGTCAGGCTCGCTGACTTGGTTGATGTATGTCATCGATCCCAACTGCGTGGATCGATGCTCATGATATTAATCACTGGATTGTCTGGTCCAGACTCGATTATTTACAGACCGACGTCATATAGCTTGAATATTGCTGAGTGCGGCGTTAAACAACAAACAAACAAACACACCTGCCACAATTTGACATTGTTTGTGTAAACGCTCCTCGCGTTCAATAAGTTTGCAACTTGGGCATTTGTGTTTATATATATAGTGGTGTTTGTCACGAACAAAGCATGTGTTGGAAATCCCGAATCTATTCCCTGCCAAAGACGGGGCCAACTATCTATCTGCCACAACGGAGACGTCAGCGTCAAGTAAAGAATCATGTTTTGTAAAGGGTTGACCATACCACACATCACGATAGTCACGAAGCCATCGATCGTTAACGTTTCTCCCATACAGAAGGATTCAGCTCAATTGCTATGATTTGTAGAACTATGCCCTAGCTTTCGCTACAGGGGATTTCATTGGCTCCTGCATATTGATCCGGAATCCTTAATTGTCTTTCCTCCCAGCCTCAGCACAGTACACCACTGTTATTAGAGCGCTGCAGGAATCGAGTGTTTAGCTCGTCAATTCGTCAAAGTGTGAGTAATGTTCCCAAAGGCCTCTGGAATATAAGATGTTCTCAAGGTAAGATATGAAATTTTAATGTTTTAATTTTGCTTTGTTTCTTTGTTGTTTATTTCAATATTCCAGGGATATGACGGCTGTCTGTAGCCAATCGAGGCTGGACCAGACAATCAAGTGATTGACATAATGAGCATCGACCCACGAAACTGGGATACGATGACATGCATCAACCAAGTCAGCGAGCCTGACCACCCGATCCCGTAGTCGCCTTTAACGGCAAGTATGGGTTGACGGGTCATTAATCTTGCAATTCCCGGTTAGAATATCAAGGTCTATTTAATTAGTCGGGTGGTCGCCATTTCATGGAACCCGTTATTAATATCAATCACTGGATTGTCTGATCCTGACCCTAATCTACAGCCCGCCTTCGTACAGCTGAATTCAATATTGCTGACTGTGATTTCAACCAATAAATAAACATGCACTTTAACACACCAACGACAGTCGCAGCACTGAGATTGCTGGTGAAAGTTTTTTATCTTTCATACGGTTGGTTATATGTTAAGGAAGAATTTGGAAGATTCTACCACCGCTTGAGTAAAGTTGGTACTAACTAAGGCATAACCTTTATTCCTACCAGGAATTTATGTAGAGTATACAGTCTGCCATCCCACGCCTAGAACCTACGTTTTTGTTTCTCCCAATAGGTCAACAAAAGATCGTAGTGTACGATACTGCTTCGACCGGCTGCACAATGTACGGGTATATATCAGAAAATCAATAGGTATTGTAAATGGTTAGGAACACTGTTTTCTTCGCACTACTTCGGCGATGAAACATGGTTATATGCCATTGACAGTTATGGTTCAGGAAAGAAAAATAGGAAATGAAAACAAAAAACATTGATCAGATAAAAAAAATAACCTCCATTTTCACCTGTTTTTTTTAATGGTAGTCGGAAATTACTTTTATTTGACGTTTTGATCGTGATGAAAATGTACTCGGAGTGGTATAATGTAGGGCTGGGACGGGTAACTCGGGTACTCGGGTGGGGTGGGTCCTCATCAGTAGGACCCGGGTACCCACAGTACTACCCGAACCCGTGGTTTTTTACGTGATATATTTTTTTTAATGACAAAAAAATCACTATAGCTCAGTGGTTACACTACAAGTAGCTAATGTTCGCATTTCTTTCTGACAATGCACACATTCCTTCATTCAACTTCAGTGTACGCATGATCTGTTTCATACAGGGGGCACGGGTGGCCCAGTCGTCTAAGGCGCCGCGATTCGCTGTGCAGAGTTGCGTCCCTTGGGCACGCCAGAAACCTATGATTGTGGGTTCGAATCCCGGTTCGCCCCTATTATGTTTCTAGGTTTGTCAGCACCATACCCGTGCCCTTGGGTTTCACCGAAGTGGTAAACGTCTGAGGCCTGCATCACTTCGGGCTTTCCTCCCACATTAAGCTGACACGCCGCGATATAACTGGAATACTGTTAAAAGGGGCGTTAAACCCAACTCACTCACTCACTTTTTCATACATCTATCTCAACAGTTTTTGCCAGGGCAATTTCCACTCAGACATTTTGTCCCCAACTCTTGAGACCTACAGTGGGTACCCGGGTAGGGCCGGATAATAGTGGGTCGGGTACCCGGGTAGTAAATTTGGACCCTTCCCCGCCCTAGTATAATAGATTCTGATTTTAGTAGAACTTTTTTATGGTTATGTTTTTTGGCTTATGAATGTGCTAATTGTGCCTATCGAAAATACCCATTGTTTTGTCATAGAAAAGCATGTCTAAGCACGGTCGGTCTTTCATAATGGGTAATAGTGAGTGAGTGAGTTGGGTTTAACGCCGCTTTTAACATTAGACGCCTTAGACGACTGGGCCACCCGTGCCCCCTAATGGGTAATAATGTTGTATATACTTGTACAGCCCAGACCTCGACTCGGATATACCGCTTTACGGACGGTTCACGCAAATACTTTACTCCTTAAGGATTGCGTAGTTGTCATGATGAGGTGAGGTGAAATGGGGTTTAACGTCGCGTCCAAGATTATTGCACTTATATAGCGACGTGCATGCACGTGTGTGTGTGTGGCTGCTTGTACTAGTCCGGACTGATGCCGATTCATAGTGCTAGCACACTTGAGATACCATGCCGAAGTTTAACATGAATACCCCACTCAGACACAGTATACTGACTCCGAGCCAACCAGTCCTTGTTTAAGCCCCTTAATGCCGAGCAAGGTCACAACAAGTACCATCTTTTAACGTCTTTTGGTATGACGCGGCCGGGGATCGAACCCCGGACCTTCCGCTCTCCGGGCGGACGCTCTACCACTAGACCACGGAGGCGGTCTACTCCTTAAGGATTGCGTGGTTGTCATCATGAATGTCACGGGGGCGTATTGTTAGATGCCACTGTTGACGACATTCTAGCAGTATTACCAGAGAGAGTAGGTTTTGTAAATGTTTGTTAAAGCTCCATTCGACTTTTTTTGCATTGACCGTATGAATACAAGGCAATTGCGAATCAGTGCTTGCTATTATTCTCCGCATTCAAAAACAATAGTATATTCTTTCTTTTGTACCGCGCTCGACATACTTCAACTGTTACACGGCGCTACGTTGTTATCGCATCATGTCTCAAACCGCCAGTACACGATCACACGTCAACCACATCACCAAGCGTGATCACCCGATTCAGTGACGTAGACAAGCAATATGATGCGTGGAACTTAAGCCGGGTCCAGTGTTGGTAGCAACTTCACAGCAACATGTGGATTCTTGGCAAGTTGGTTGGTTGGTTTGTTGGTTTGTTGTTTAACGCCACACACACCCATGTTTGTCGTAAAAGGCGGACCTGTGAAGATTCCGGGGTAGAATAGGTCTTCAGCAACCCATGCTTGCCGTAAAAGGTGACTATGCTTGTCGTAAAAGGCGACTCACGGGATCGGGTGGTCAGGCTCACTGACTTGGTTGATACATGTCATTGTATCCCAATTGCATGGATCGATGCTCATGATGTCAATGACTGGATTGTTTCGTCCAGACTCGATCATTTACAGACCGCCGTCATATAGCTTGAATATTACCGAGTGCGGCGTTAAACAACAAAAAAACAAACAAAATATTTTGGCTGATGTATGAATAATATACAGAGAAAGATGTAATATATTAGAGTCGTTCCTTGTATACAGCCTTGCCTTAGGCCTAAAGGACAATGAAAAGAATCTGTTAAGAATACATTAATTCAAGAATATTTAACATTCACCCACACCTTCTTAAAACGACTAAGCCAGTGTGCTTTTGCTATAAGGATACGTAGCTTAAACTAATATTTGCCGTTAATACTTTATGCTGCGAAGTGGCAGAACGCTGTTTGCTTATGTAATCCTTTTAAACATGTCTGGACGTCGCACCTTCCTTCCGACGTCAATACACCAACGAAGGACCGATTATCGCAGTAATGGATACATTAAATAGGAACATTGTAGCCGCAAGTTCTAAACTTCAATGTGGCAGTGGTGTACGGCTGTGTAATTGATGACGCAGACTAACTTGTCAGTATGTACCCGAGGGCGACATGACATGGGTGTGATGAAAACTGGTTCATGTCAACACTCAGTCAACAGGAATACAGATTTCCATTTCTTTTAGCAATTAATGTTTTGTACATTAATGGTGAGTGAGTGAGTTAGTGTTTACAGTATTCCAGTCATATCACGGCGTGTCAGTTTAATGTGGGAGGAAAGCCCGAAGTGATGTTTGTTTGTTTCTTTGTTTCTTTGTTTGTTGTTTAACGCCGCACTCAGCAATATTCCAGCTATATGACGGCGGTCTGTAAATAATCGAGTCTGGACCAGACAATCCAGTGATTAACATCATGAGCATCGTTCCACGCAATTGGGATCGATGACATGCATCAACCAAGTCAGCGAGCCTGACCACCCGATCCCGTTAGTCGCCTTTGGGGGATTATCGAGTTGTAGCACGTGTTGGTCTGGGATCAGTTTCAATCAATGGAATCAGCATCACGCAATGATGGCCATAACACTTAACCAGAGGAGGAGACTTCCCTGGAGCACCGCTTGATTCTAGAATTGCTTGTATGTATTTGGCCTGGATTCAATTTGAGGACCCTCCAACGACAATACTAAGGGAATCGTGTTAGGATAGTTGCAAACAAAGTCATAGAAACGAACCCAATGGATTTCTTGAATCTGGAATTGTTTGGTAATTTCGGAACGAGTTAGCAGGAACATGATCGCTGAAGCGAATATTCCTCGATATTCGATAGTCTTGAAATACTAGTATTTACACGGTAAATTAATTCAATAAGTATGGCTCAGTAAGAGCACACGCTAACGCATTCCCTTCAATTCTATGATTTGCCGGGAGCCTGTTTGTTTGTCTATAACGCGGATTGATTAAATCAGACGGAATAAATATTTCCAGGGCAACATCATGATATCATTGCCGCTTGACAAATGTAAAGAAATGTCAATGTTTGATATGTCATGACATTTTGTATTGCAATTATATACGTTCTGGGCGTTTATTTTTATAAACATGTGTATATGTTTTATGGCACATGCGATATTAGAAAAAGCTGTATCGAATAGAAGTGTACATTTCATCACTTTCATGGACAGGAGGCACGGGTGGCCCAGTCGTCAAAGGCGCCGCCATTCGCTGTGCACGTCCCTTGGGCGCGCCGGAAACCTATGATTGTGGGTTCAAATCCCGGTTCGCCCCGATTATGTTTCTAGGTTTGTCAGCACCATACCCGTGCTCGTGGGTTTCACCGAAGTTGTAAACGTCTGAGACCTGCCCCACTTCGGGCTTTCCTCCCACATTAAGCTGGCACGCCGTGAAATAACTGGAATAGTGTTAAAAGCTGCGTTAAACCCAACTCACCCACTCATTTATACATGTGAAATTAGATGCAGAACTTTAATTCAGAGGTAAATAGCTCCAATATGTGCTCATACTTAGTTACACAATAAGTAAAGTAACATCAACATGAAGATGCTATTTAAGATTAGCTCCAT